AGCCAACCAGACAATAAAGGAAATGCAGCTCAAACATAGGCATAAAAATATAGTAGGTACCTCGGGGATAAATGTACAGATAAAAGTACATGTGCTTCTAGCTGGATTCCAGGTTATAGAACCATTCTGCTCAGTGCAGCAGGTACTTGTAAGTGTTTCAGAGGATGCATGGAAGAGTATGAGGCAGCCCATGCCTTTAAGAAGTTTAATATCTTCTAGGGTGGAGGAGACAGCTATGCAAACATCAGCGCTGCAGACAGAATTAATGTCACAACTGAGGAACTCCAATTTATACGTCCTCAAAGGTGGGAGAGATCAAGGCTTGGAGGGCATCCAGAAAAGCTTCACTGAAGAGATACCATTTGAATTAACCTTTAAAGTTAAACAGAAAAAAATTAAGTAGGATTTTTGACAGGTACATGAGGGAATAGAGAGTGCTTTACAGGATGTCAGGGAGGGAGTTTCAGGTGTGCCCAGAACAATGATAATCCAAATTTGCTGCAAAATTGGATTCCACTAGAATGGCACCAAAAGATAAAGTTGTTGTCAGATTTTATGGAGGTTCTTGAATTCCACATTTAGGGGGCCTGTGCTTCATTTAATAGGCACTGAGAGGCTGGATATGGTGGCTCATGCCTGTAATCCCAGCACTTTGAGAGGCTGAGGCAGGCAGGTCACTTGAGGTCAGGAGTTCAAGATCACCTGGTCAACATGGCAAACCCCGTCTCTACTAAAAATACAAAAATTAGGTGGGCATGGTGGTGTGCACTGTAATTTCAGCTACTCAGGAGGCTGAGGCAAAAGAATCACTTGAACTCGAGAGGTGGAGGTTTCAGTGAGCCAAGATCATGCCACTGCAGTCCAGCCTGGGTGACAGAGTAAGACTCTGTCTCCAAATAAATAAATTAATAAATAAAGCACTGAGATATAATTTGGGTGATACACCTTCAGGAGATTAATCTGGAAATGATAGTTCTGTGTGGGGTGGTAGCAAACCCTGAAATTAAGCAAGTGGTAAAGAAGAAATCTCAGCAGTGCAGGTGGGAGAGGAGGACAGTCTAATCTCAACAAGGATCAGGAATGGGAATAAGATGATGGGGACATTACAGAGACAAAATTTGAAAATGGGTACCAGTTAGGTACAAGGGATCAGCAGAGAGAAAGGGGTGAAAATCAACTCAGAGGTCGATAGCCTGATTTACTGAATAGCTGTAATAGATGAATGAATTCATAAGAGCAGGGGAGGGGCTGGTGGGAAGAGAAAGAGGAGGAGGAAATAAAGAAGAAAGAAATACTTTGAACCTGCTAAATTTACTCATGGTACTATTCGGTGGTCATGTCCAGCAAGTAGAAGAAAATATAGAATTGGTGTTTAGAGAAAGGTCAAGGCTTTGGTAATTAACAACAAGAAGAGCATAATTGAAGCTATGTGAGTCGATTTAAACACAAAGTAAAGAGATTAGATCTCATCTCAAAGGAAGAAGAGGGCTGGCTAAGGACAGAACCAAGGGGCAGGAGGATGAGTGAAGATGACACCAAAAGACCCACTGGGAGCTGGGAGGAGATCCTAGCCTCCATCACCAAGAGAGCAACTTTTAGAAAGTTGTGCAGGTGGGCAATTATGGGTGGGGTTTATTTTCTCTTTTTAAAAATCTTTCACAAAGATCAGAAGTACTTTTGTAAAAATATTTTTAATCAGTTTATTTTAAGGAAATCATTTGTTCTCAACAGAGGCAAATACCACAGAGACATGGGAAGATAAGGGCTGGGTACAGTATCACATTTAGTGACAAAGAGATTGTGTGTGTCCCTGTAGAAACAAATACGTTTCGACAGAACGTGGAAGCAGAAAAGGATTGGAAGGCACACGGGAGGACCCTGCAAGTGACTCATTGGCAGCAGAGGGGCACAGGGCGAGGGAGGAGTGAGACAGTAAGGAGAATGTTTTCAGGAAAAAAAGTTCAGGCACATTTGTTGAAGAAGAGAAGGACAATAAATAGGAAAAGTTGGAAGACTTGTGTAGAAGTAGAAATCCTTGACTCAGCAGCAGAGAGAAAAGAGGCAGGAGCAGGTGGGCTAGGAGCACAATGTCAGCCTTGAAAAGCCAAAAGCAGAGACCTGTCTTCTAATGCAGAGGACTGTGGTGGTGGTGAAAACTAGAAAAGGAGGCCGAGAGATTTTAAAGTGAATGGAGGAGAGTTGAGGGATGTCTCGTTTGAATGATTCAAAGGGTCACTGAATTTAAGGAACTCTTGAGAGGAGCTGGGAAAAGCAGAAAGGCAGTCTGCACATTGTTCACCAAACACAAAGGCTTTTTCTTCTTAAATCTTAGGTCTTAGACAGATATAGATAAACTTCCCATGTGAGTAGGGGAATTTCAGCAGATGCTAATATCAATCAAAAGAAGTCACATCTGAACCCACAGACCTCAACACATACAGAGGAGACTAACAGGCTGGGCTATTGTAGAGAACATGAACCACACAAAAATCATAGACCCCTAGCACTCAGAGGGACCTCCAAAGGTCATCGGAACATATCCACATCCCTGTCAACACACACCACCACACATTTGCAGCAGTTACACCATGCTCTGTGTAGAGAATTAGACACCAGAAACTCTTCCAGGGAGAGAAGAAGAGAGTCACCATAGTAGATGGCCAGATAATTGTGAATTGAAGAGAAGGGAAAGGTGGTTCACAGGATAAAGCCTGAGAAAACTGCAGTCCCCAAAATATTCTCTAGTTCCATTCAACAGATAAAATATTGCATGATGTTTTAGGATCTTTGCATTCAGTTTCCAGAAGGGTTATTTTAAATACCAAGAGATTGATAACAGGAAAAATAAAAGTTTCTGAATTCTTTGACCACATCAAGTTTCACAGGAACCACAGCCACACAAACTACACACTTGCTGAGTATATAACATGACACTAGCCTATACTTCAGGACCTTTACTCTCACCTCGAATCCTATTTCATTGAAGCTATTTTTCTAATCATTAACTGCAGCAAAAGGGAGAAAACATTCCATGTGGCAAAGAGAAAAGCTATGTCCCTTTGAGTCCATGCCTTCTCCATAAGGATCCCCTTGAAGTTTTTCATCAGCTGTGGTTCAAGGTGCCCCATACCTTGAGGAATGGCACCTCTCCAGCACAGCTCTCAGCCTGGGGTTGCTAAAGAGCAAAATGATGGGGTGAACTGCTGCACACAGATAAATCACTGACTGCCACATCCAGAATTTAAAGTCCAGAGGCAGAAAAATACCTGCAGCACTGAACACCAGTGACAGAAAATAGGAGATGAAAAGGATGGCAAAAGAGATGAGAGCCAGCAGAGCCTTTATGTGAGCCTGCAAACAGGGCTCTTGGAATCCCGAGGTGGTCAAGAGGGCCTTCTTCATGTGTCTTCCCAGAGATGTGATGAGCAAAATCATGCAAATGAAAAAGACAGCAGTGGGCACTGTCCAAGTAACCATTTTTAGAGGGAAGAGGTAGAATTTCTCACAGGAGCTCTTTATGCTGTTGCCGGTGACCTTCCAAGGCTGTAGACGGTTCCTTAAATAGTTCTGATGTATTCTCTGGTTGCCTATGAAAAACAGAATGGTGCTGAAGCTGGAGAGCCCAACAGAGCCGAACAGCATCCACGGTACCCACCCAGACAACTTGCGCTTTAGCCAGAGGAAGACAGGGTGGGTGAAGGTTGCAATTTTCACACAGTAGAAGACACTAAGACAGGAAGAGAACCACAATGTGGCAGCATTCAGGAAGTCCCACTGGATGGCTAGAAACTGCAGTACAGGGTTGTATGGGAAGGCTGTCGGATACAGGAAAAGATAAATGGTCTTACCCAATTCCACCCACTGTAGACAAAAGCGAGAAGCCCCTAAGCTAACCAATAACTTATCACAAGGCAACAACGTTCTCCGTAGCACCCACTCCATGCCCAGAACAGCAGTGACAAAGCCATTGCCCGCTATTGCTACCAGGCACAAAAGGAATAAAATTATAACCAAGATGATGGCCTTCTTGTCAGTTACCAAAGATCCCAGAACCATGTGGTCTCCATTCATCTCTTCTGTGGACAAGATGGATCCCAAAGTTTCAAGGGCTATTTCTGTTGCATTGCTCTGGAAGGTCCTGTAGGATATGTTTGTCCCTCCAGCTGCCCCAAATGCAGAGGCTAGGCCAGAGCAGAGGACTCAGGCTATCAGAGGAGGGTGAAAAGGTTTCTTCTAGGAATAGATGCAAATATTGTCTAGGCTTAATTTCCAAAGCCCCCATGCCTGCCCAAAATTTGCCTGCTCTTCTGCCTATTCTCTGCCCATGTCAACACCAAAGTGGATAATATGTCAGGCCCTGGCATTTAGTGTTTTTACACAGGAGGTTATACTTCTCTAAGCTGACACTTAAGACAGGACCGTACACCTGCTGGCAGCTCAGTAGTATCCACAGGGCACACCTGCTACTGCGACAGCACTCACATTCACAGCAGGGAGTGATTGTTATATTGCAGGAATTGTTCTGAGTACTCTCCTTAGTTCTCACAACCCCGTGAAGGGAGTGCTATGGCAAAACCCCTTTGACCGAAATCGAGAGAAAACTGAGCAAACCTTTACAGAGAAAGACTAATTCAAGTCTTATTACTCACAGTGACCATCATCATTAAAAAAAACACAGGAGACAATTGTACACAATGAGGTGGGCAACTTTTTTCAAAATTTAAAAACATATATTTTATAACTGGTGACCTTTAAAATACCATTTCACAGAGGAACCCCCAGTAGCCATAGGCCAATGGGATATGGCAGAACGAGCCCTGTACTAGGAGCTGAGACAGCCTTTAGCCCAAGCTTCACCCCTTATTGTGAGTTGTTGGATTTATCAGCCCCTCTGTACCTCACTTTGTCCATCTGTAAAATATGAAAAGTGTCCTATGTTCTAATTCACAAAGTTGTCTTAGAATCTCAGCTTAGAATGGAAGAATACATTAAAGATAATCTTACAAAGGAGAGATCCAAGATGGCTGATCACTAGCAGCTCGGGATAGTAGCTCCCAGTGAAAGCACAAAGAACGAGAGGACGCCATACCTTCACATGAATTCTTGTTGCTCACGCACCAGGAGATTCCCAGCGGAGGAGCCCCACGGGTCGCCAGCGCGACTCTTGTGACCGGCGAGGCGGTTTTGCCGGCGCCTCGGAGCGTCGGTTCTTGGTGCAGAGTCAGAAAAGCACCATCAATCTTAACGCCGCTGATTGAGTCGGCGCAGTGGGTTGCTCAGATTTCGGCGCTGAGAATCAATAAGTCGGACGTCCACTCAGAAAACCAATTACAAAGACGGTAAATACAAAGACCACAGATGGATAAATTTATAACGAAGGGAAGAAAACAGCCAAAAAAGGCTGAGAATACCCAAGATCAGAACGCCTCTCCCTCAGCGGGGGATCACAGTTCCTCATCAGCAACGGAACAAGGCTTGATGGAGAACGAGTGTGTTCCAATTACAGAAGCAGGCTTCAAAATGTGGATAATGAGAAACTTCTGTGAATTAAAAGAACTTGTTTTAAATCAATCCAAAGAAACTAAGAACTTTGAAAAAAGATTTGACGAAATGTTAAAAAGAATACACAATTTAGAGAGGAATATAAGTGAATTGATGGAGCTGAAAAACACAATACGAGAACTTCGTGAAGTATGCACAAGTTTTAACAGCCGAATTGATCAAGCAGAAGAAAGGATATCAGAGGTCGAAGACCAACTCAATGAAATAAAACAAGAAGACAAGATTAGAGAAAAAAAGGATAAAAAGGAACGAGCAAAGTCTCCAAGAAATATGGGACTATGTGAAAAGACCTAATCTACGCTTGATAGGTGTACCTGAAAGTGAGGAAGAGAATGAATCCAAGCTGGAAAATACGCTTCAGGACATTATTCAGGAAAATTCTCCCAACCTAGTAAGGCAGGATAATATTCAACTCCAGGTAATACAGAGAACACCACAGAGATATTCCTCAAGAAGAGCAACTCCAAGGCACATAATCGTCAGATTCACCAGGGTTGAAATGAAGGAGAAAATACTAAGAGCAGCCAGAGAGAAAGGTCAGGTTACCCACAAAGGGAAGCCTATCAGACTTACAGCAGATCTCTCAGCAGAAACCCTACAAGCCAGAAGAGAGTGGGGGCCAATATTCAACATCCTTAAAGAAAAGAACTTTCAACCCAGAATTTCACATCCAGCCAAACTAAGCTTCACAAGTGAAGGAAAAATAAAGTTTTTTGTGAATAAGCAAGCACTCAGAGATTTCATCACCACCAGGCCTGCTTTACAAGAGATTCTGAAAGAACCACTACACATAGAAAGGAACAAACAGTATCAGCCTTTCTAAAAAAATACCAACAAGAGCATCAATATAATGAAGAATTTACATCAACTAATGGGCCAAATAGCCAGCTAATATTAACTGGCAGTATTAAACTCACATATATTATTATTGATTCTAAATTTAAATTGACTAAATCCCCCATCCAAAGACAGACAGGCAATTTGAATAAAAAACTAAAACCGATCAGTATGCTGCATCCAGACCCATCTCACATTCAAGGATACACAAAGATTTAAAACAAGAGATGGAGAAGGATTTACCAACCAAACAGAGAGCTAAAATAAATAAATAAAAAGCAGAAGTTAAAATTAAGCAACAAAGATCAAAAGAAGCAAAGAAGGACATTATATAATGATAAAAGGATCAATGCAACAACAAGAAGAGCTAAAGATCCTAAATATATACGCATCCAATACAGGAATACGTAGATCAGTGCCACATCATATCAACTTAGAAGTTTAAACGAAATGTTCGTTGGCTCCTTGTTTGTTATTCTCTCCCCTCATTTTCTTTTATATCTCCATTATTAAGGACAATTATAGGCATACCCATATTTAGATTGCATTCTAGCCTGGGCAATAAAGCAATACCCCCATTCTCTCTCCCTCTTCCTCTTCCTCTTTCTTCCTCTTCTTTATTCTTTTTCTTATAAAAAAATAAAAATAAAAAAAAGATAATCTTACAGATAAAAGAAATAAGGCCCCAAATTATGTATTAAGACTCCCACCTAAACGCACAGTGATGCAGAGGAAAGACCAAGATCCAGAATGATTCCAGCACCAGAAATCTCTGCCATAGTTAGCAATACATGTTACACCTCCATCTTCTCTCATCCTTAGCTGAACTCAGAAGCCCGTTTTAAGTCTTGTCACAATCGCTACAGATCCTCAAGCAGTTAACCTCTCTGAATGACCCCCTTTTTCAACTGTAAAAAATATGGATCACAAATAAATACGACCATAAATATGGTAAATATATTGGAAACTATAAATCTCTGCATATGGACAAGAGTAATGATGATGATGACAATGACTTTATTAGAATGGCTATCTTCTATTCCATTCATCCCGTGGCGCAATAGCTAGTGTAAAATTCAGGACAGCATCAGGGATAAAAGGGAAGTCCAGGGCACCAAATGTCAGACCATTGATATCAGCCAGAGGAGGGCAGAGTAAGAAAAGACCACATTCTTTATAGAAACGAGCTTCAAAGAGTTAAAAAAAAAAAATCAGCAACCAACACTTACGTGAGTGTAAGTAGGTTAACGTGTCACGGGGAGATAGGAAAGCAGAAATTGTTCTGAGTCAAATACAGCAACATTGATCAGGATCAAGTAACATAGCAGTAAGGGGGTTTTTAATAGAACACACATCTTCTGGTTGGCACTGCAACCTACCAGTTTCATATATAGGACCCCCACAAAAAGGGAATCGAATGCACGTCATCATCTCTTCCCAGCTCCCAATCCACTTCCAGGTGGAATTGTTTCCCTAGCACATAGGCCAACTATTGTGGACATAGTTCTTCTGGGTAGAGGAAAGAAGATGAACTAAGGTAATTCACTCACTCGGCCTTTCTGTGAAGACGCAAATCTCCAGGGGATAGAGTTTCCAACTGCTCTCTTCCTTGCCCTCATTCGTCTGGCTGATATTTGGCTGTTTTCTACTGGAACCTGGAGAAATGGGGAAAACTTTGTGCTTACAGCTCTGAAGTATGGCCAGCCACAAACCTCCCAATATGGAAAACTTGAATCTTTTTCATCCACCTCCCACACCTTCAATGATAAAGATGTGCATTTAATCTTCAATTCGTTTAATAATAATTTATTAAGAATATTCAATATGCCGTGATAACCCTTTGAAAGACATTGGGCTACAACAATGAATTAGATATCTGCCCTCAAAGCATTTTGATGTGCTAAACATAAACCACAAACATTTACTGGGCTTATGCTATGTGCAGAGTAAGTTAATCCAAAAGAAAGAATAATCATTTGAATTTAAATATGCAATGTGTCTCATGGAGATTCTTTTGTGTTTTTTTTTTTTTTTTTTTTTTTTTTGTCTGTCACATTTGGCTTTCTCATGTCCAGTTTAACCTTCTTAGGTAAAAGCCAAGACTGAGAGTTTAAAACTTGTTATAACCAGTCTTTATAATTGTAATCACAAGGGAGTTAGAATAGGGATCCTGAGTTGACTCTCTATATGGAAAACCTTCAACTCAGTACTCTCAACAAGTGACTCCCAGTCTGTTGTTCTATGTGTTAGGGATCATCCTATTCCCATTCCAAGATTTCTCGGAAGAGTTTTGCAGTAACAGCCCCATCATTCTGAGACAACAAAGATACTGTCTTGTATGTTGGAAGGAAAAAGATGAGGCATCAGCATAGGAGGGGGATACATAATTATATCCAGAACAATTAGCTACAACAGAGGACTTACATAGAGATTATGGCATATCAAGCCAAAAAGGTAGGCTGGAGAGAGGTCACAGAAATTTTGGGAAGTCTTGATGAGATATTAGATTGTATCTTTAGTCAAGATACAATCTTAGGAGCTAGAGTTTAAAACTCTTATGAGCTAGAGTTTTAAAAAAGGAAATTGAGAACATCAACCAATTAGGAACTCCTGAGACAACCTGGCATCGCTCAAAAGACTATGAAGCTGGAACAGAACATGAGAGTTGAATCACCACCTGCTCCCCACCCAGATACCTTCAGTAAAGTTCTTGGAGCTCCGCCCAAGGGAAGGGCAGTCTTCAGGTATTCACAGTTGGGTAGAAGGAGAGAGGAGACAGATACCCCTATCCCCGCCATGCTCCTGCCTTCCCTGCCTCCATCCAGCTTGTGCCTTGAGCCCCAAGGCTCAGTCCCATAATTTATTATTAACCTCCCTGTAGGAAGTCATTAGATTGCTCATGTTGCTACAAAAAAAGAAAAAAAAATTATTCATGATTGATGATGAGGATAATATGTGTTCTCTAAGTGGGATAATTCCTAGACTTTAGGTGTCTATTTAATTTAAAGCCTGGCCACAGTGCCAGCTTCCCACAGGTTCCTCCATCCTGCCTCTCTCTCGCTCTGCCCTCTGGGGAAATCCCCATGTATTCTTCATCAACAACTTGAGAATCTCCTCCTTTGATCATCTTTTTGCAAGAGAAAAATTCCTGATCTTGTTATTTTGCCTCTGGTCATCCGTCTGTCTTCTATTACCATAGCCTGGCTTCCCGCTAGCCCTGTAGCATAACGTTTTGGGGCCTCAGCTTCCCAGTGTTATTGAACATTTGACCATAAATGCATTTACCTATTTGAAAATTATTTGTGACCGCTGTTCTGTCCTGTTATTTATCGCTTCTGTTTTGACTAGTTTGAACATATGATTCTCCCTTAACCATGCCTATTGTTCTTCCCAGTCTCTTTCGGTTTATCGGTCTCCATGCTTTGTTATCATTAGCTCCACCAGTAAAATATAGATATGTGAACATACAACCCACCAGCTATAAACTGCATGTTCGTATCCTCCCAAAATTCATACATTGAAATGAAACCTTAATCCTCAACGTGATAACATTGAGAGATAAGGCTTTTAGGAGGTAATTAGCTCATAAGGGTGAAGCCCTCGTGAATGGAATTAGAGCCCTTATAAGAAGAAACACAAAACAGATAACTCTCTCTGCCATGTGAGAACACAAGAAGGTGTCTGTCTGCAACCCAGAAAAGGGCCCTCACCAGAACCCAACCACACTGGCACCCTGTTTCAGGATCCAGAACTGTGAGAAATAAATGCCTGTTGCTTAAATACCCTGTCTATGGTATTCTGTCACTGCAGCCTAGGCTGACTAGGACACTACCATATGCATATTTATTTTTAATTACATGCATGTACATTTCACTAATACATTACGTGCATCATAAAATGTCCACAACATAGGAATTAAAAGGAGAAGACAAAAATAAATGGAAACTGAAATTGCTACACTTTTCTTCCCAGGCCTAGTGGCTCATCTTGTCCAAGCCCCGGGCTGCAGACATCCCAATCTGGAGATTCCCATCCTTAACAGCTGCATCGGGCATCCATCTCCTTGGTGAGCAGATGAGGAGTAGAATCATCAAAATTAAGAACTGTAGGACATTTCCTTTGTTTTCCATCTATCTTCTGTTGGCCAAAACCTAAAAGCATTTTTACATCAGACAATTTCTCTTAATTCAACACGAGCACATGAAGTCATGGATGTGACCTACAGTAGAACCAAACTCTTATGTGTCCTTAGCTTTCTGTGAGTTCAGGCTGAAAAAGCTCCCTGGGTGGAATCGATCTGAAGCAGAGCACAAAGGAGGGGACTGGCAGAGAAAGGAAAGAAGGAAGTATTGGGTAAGCCCAAGAAGTACATGAGGAAGAAAAAGACATAAGGGAAGAGGAGAAGAAGATTTCTTGGGTTGAAGTGGAGAGACGGGGCTGAGAGCACAGCCACGGAGCAGGAGGGCAGGTGATGTCAAGTAGATGGTGCTGGACAATATGTGTCACTATTAAAAAATAAGCTTCAAGGCAGAACATGGTGGCTCACACCTGTAATCCCAGCACTTTAGGAGGCTGAGGAGGGTGGATCATTTGAGGACAGGCGTTCTAGATCAGTCTGACCAACATGGTGAAGCCCCGTCTCTACTAAAAACACAAAAATTAGCCAGGCATGGTGGCACGTGTCTGTAGTCCCAGCTACTCTGGAGGCTGAGGCAGGAGAATTGCTTGAACTTGGGAGGTGGAGGCTGCAGTGAACTGAGATCATGCCACTACACTCCAGCCTGGGCAACAGAGCAGGACTCTATCTCAAAAATAAAATAAAATAATAAAATATAAGCTTCGGTTTGCCCACAGAGACAACTGACAACAGTTACAGTTCTCTACAAAGGGCATACAGACCAACATGATGCCTGGCAAATATTAGGGTTGCTTGCATATAGATTCATGGGGCCCCATGAGGAAATGAGCCCACCAGCAAAGGCCGAGTTTGTTGAAGACTAGGACTAGAGTCTCACAGCAGTGGAGGGGATGGTAGGAACACAGCAAGATGGAAAAGGGATTCTGGGGCATGGAGAGCGTGGGAGAGAAAGAAGAAACTAGAAAGAGAAAGACAGTACTCAAACCTTATGCATTCCTGCCAGAACCAGGATCATTAATCACAGGACTGGTTATTGACATGGATAACTCAAGAGCACAACCATCCTATGGCCAGCACCTTCCAAAGCCCTGTGAGCCAGCAGCACATGGGCACTGGAGCCGAAACCATGTCTTCAGGCTCTTTTTCAGTTTGGGACGTCTCAGCACAAGGAAAGTAGAGTGTAGAGAGATGTTGGCATAGATGAGCACTTCCCAGGCCAAGTGCCAGTGATTCTGAAAGTTTATGATTTTCAAAGCAGAAACAAACAAGGACAGGAAGTACAATGTACAGAAGATAAGGAAGAAGGTGAGCGACTTTAAAGCCACAGTGTAAGCCTGGGTGCTGGGGACACAGGGGCTGGGCCTGCGTTCCCTCATCTGCCCCAAGTGCCCGCACAGTGACACGATGAGCAAGACGGTGGGCACTAGGAACAGGAGGAACGGAACTGACAACACAAGCCCTTCATAAAGCAAAAAGTAGAGCTGAAACGAATCCTGCACTCTATAAATTAGAGTTTCATTTCCGTAGGAACTAAGAGAGAACTTCATGGGACCAAACAGTATATTCCCAGTGGCTGATAAGATGACTTGCAGGCCACAGATAATCAGGGAGCCCAGCATCAGCTTGGGCACTGACCGAGAGATCCTCCACTTCAGACAGGCGAAGATGGGGTGGGAGAAAGATGAGATCTTCACACAGTAGAAAGCAGCAAGCAAGGCAGTAAACCACGAAGTGAGGGCATTGAAAAGGTCCCAGAAGATGTTCAAACAGGTAAATGCATGCCAAAAGTCTAGGGAGGCCAGGAGGTTGTTCACCATGGCTAACCCATGCAGGCAGAACCGGGATGCAGTGAGACCAGCCACAATCATGTCACTTGCTGGCAGCGTCCGGCACCTCACCCACTCCCTGCCCAGCATGGTGACCAAGAAGCCATTCTGAAGCATTGCAGCCAATGACTCCAGGCAAAAGATGGTCATGAAGATCAACGTGGGCGAGGAGGGCATCTTCTCCAGGGAGGTGCTTCTAAGACTTTGCTCCTACTGCAGAGGACTGGAAAATCATCTGCGGGGAAACAGCCTCTCTGGCAGAGTCAAGCCACCCTGTTGACACCAGAGACTTGGAAGCCCTTGTGCCTGGATTCATAGAAAATCCCAGTCACCAGCAAACACCCACAGTCCCCAGAATTTGCAAAGATAATTTCTACAATCTCCTTTGGCAGGCAAACCACTCCCAGCTCAATGACACCCTGTTTCTATTCGCATAGCCTGTATTTGCCTATCCTTTCTCAGAGCCAGATGCAGGGAAATGTTAACAGAATAGAGGCTGCTGGAGTAACTGAAAATACCCATATTTTGTACATATGTCTTAACTGTACTATTTCTTTCCTAGCTCTTCTTTAAAAGACGTTGTTACTTGGATGGCCCTCCCCAAACCACAAACCTTCCCTTTGTGTCCTGCCTTAGTATTTTATTTAGTAGTAGCTCACCTCCTGAATGGGTGGAATAGAAAAATCATCCACATGCACAAGGCTTCAGATTATCAAGAAAAAGCTCCCTAACCACTGACCTCTCATGCTGCCTAAAATTTCACTGTCAAGCTTTATATTGGAGTTCATGAAATCTCAAGTTAAAATTTGGATTTCCCTGGATGTGCTACCATCGAATCTGGTAAAATGTGTTACCATCAAATCTGTTAACCATTATCCCCCTGGCTCCAGTGTGTTTCATCAACCAAAAGTAATCAGCTTCTAAGAAGGCTCTGAGAAAACGAGAGAGAGTAGATAAGTCATAATGGGAAGAAGAGAAAGTCAGAGAAGGGAGACTGACCCAGAGAGGACATCACCACAGCTGGGGAAAGCCAGAGTAGGTGGAAAGACAGGCGCTCAGGACAAAGCTGGCTTATAGGGAAGGTCTGCGTTATGCGGAGTGAGGCCTGTCCTGTGCCAGCCCTGAAGCTATGGCAGTAGAAACCACCCTGCCGGAACACCTTGTCATTTTTAAAGTGATTTCACACGTTACATTTTTGCCTCTACTGCCAACCACACAAAGTGACACTGGTTCAGATCAACCAACCCAGGTTCAGGGAGCCTGAGGAAAGAATGCCTACGAACATGAAAAAAAGTAAGAACAAAAGGGTGAAGAGGAAAGAGAGAGGAGGGTAGAAGAAAGCAGAGGTGTGGATAGAAAAACAGGAAAGGGAATCCCCAGCCCCCAAGCCCCGGCAAACATCTCAGATCCTGGAGTCGGGCTTTCCACCACCAAGATGAGTCGTAGAAAGTGACCTTGCCTGCTTCCCATGGTCTCACTCAAGATTCTACAGGTGAGAGAGGCCCGTGTGTGAAAGATTAAAGAGAAATAAAAACAAGGACAAACATTTAGGTGGCGACTTCAAGAAAAAGAGGTTCAGCCCTCGAAAATAGCAATTGCTTGAAGAGCTACGAGTTTTTATTGAACTCTCAAAAGATTGTTAGAGGACCAGGTGTGGTGGCTCAAGCCTGTAATCCCAGCACTTTGGGAGGCCGAGGCGGGTGGATCACGAGGTCAAGAGATCGAGACCATCCTGGTCAACATGGTGAAACCCCGTCTCTACTAAAAATACAAAAATTACCTGGGCATGGTGGTGCGTGCCTGTAATCCCAGCTACTCAGGAGGCTGAGGCAGGAGAATTGCTTGAACCCAGGAGGCGGAGGTTGCGGTGAGCCGAGATCGCACCATTGCACTCCAGCCTGGGTAACAAGAGCGAAACTCCGTCTCAAAAAAAAAAAAAAAAAAAAAAAAAGATTGTTAGAGAGGGGATAATTCAATCTGATCAACTGTTTTGTAACACAGCTTCAGTGTCTTTATTTAATTCTTTGTGTGTCTTCCTCTGGCTTCTTGAAGACAACAGCAATGAGTGGCTTCTGCATGCTCCACGACATGTCGGCTCATCTCAAACTCCTTTGGCCAGAGCCCAGCTTCATGATGTCATCAAGAAGCAAGCCAAGGCCATGGTGCCCACACCCTGTTGTGGTCACGTGTAACCAAGTAGACATTGAATGTTTGCAGGCAACCTTCATGTTCTCTGCAGAGGTGCCGAAGCATGCACTTTGCCAGAACAAGTCTTTTCCAAGCCTTTTCCTTTTCTACAGTTGATAACTCTATAAAGTAAACATTTTCTCCTGTTTCAATCCTCTTCTATAAGAAGGCTGGAAGAGTACCTTTCCTTCAGGCACCTGTTTATCCATCTCTTAATGCTTCACTAGATATATCTTATGGGGATTTCATGTCCCATTCATAGTCTGCCACCAAAAGAGGCCATGAGCAAGGCAACGTTTTAGGGTTTTTTTTCTTTTAGTTTTTCAAGAGTCCTTCAAATATGAAATAGCGAACAAAACACAAAATGTTTCTCACAAAAGTTTGGGTCACATTTCTCTTTTTTAAAGATGTTGCATTCCTACAACTGAAGCTAATGAATTCTTTTCTGCAGCATGATTGGAAATATTTTTTTTAGGTGAAGCCTGAATCTTCTGTGAAATGGTAAACAAGTAACAGCAGGAGGCTTGATGAAAATGGAAGATTCTGCAAAGAGCTGCTTGTACTTCCTTCACTTTAGTCCTCTGTAGTGTAAAGTGCTTTCTGGTTTCTGTGGATTCGTTTGTCTTTTGTTTTTATTTTCTTTTTCTTATCACATTCAAGAATACATTAATTCATCTTAGAGACATAAAAAATACATTTCAAGCCAGGTGCGGTGGCTCACGCCTGTAATCCCAGCACTTTGGGAGGCCAAGGTGGGAGGATCACAAGGTTAGAAGATTGAGACCATCCTGACCAACATGGTGAAACCCTGTCTCTACTAAAATGCAAAAAATTAGCCGGGTGCAGTGGCGTGCACCTGTACTCCCAGCTACTCAGGAGGCTGAGGCAGGGGAATATCTTGAACGTGGTGGGTGGGGGTTGCAGTGACCTGAGATCACAGCACTCCAACCTGCTGACAGAGCAAGACTCCATTTCAAAAGAAGAAAAAAAAAATACATTTCATTTGACAAGGTTTCTCAATCTTGGCACCCATTCCCAACTTTTGAGTTCAGCCTTTGAGTAACTTGCAGTTCATAAATACTTCCACATATTTCCATGGCTTTATCAGGTAACTGATGGCCCACTCCAGGGAAAGGTGGAGGGAAAAAGGAAATAACAATTTTTTAAATGGCTAGACTGCACATAAATGTTAAGCTAAACTATGCACAAAATTAATAATGATTTCTCTGCAGGATAAGCCCTAAATATATTTTCTCACCCTGAAGACCTTCTCTGACTCTTACATTTAGATAAATAATTTAGAATAAACTTTGGCTCTAATAATCCAGCATAAAAGAGAAATTTCGCTTTCTAAAAGTAAATTTGGGAATTTCCAACACCTTCCATTATCAAAATGTGAATGCACAGTTAAATACTGTTTAATATTCAGGTAAATCTAGACTTTCCTCTCAAATAAAAATAGCATTTGATAGTTATTTTTATAATTATAAAGTTAGCATACAAGGAAGCTGAGTCCAATTCTATTCCAATTAAAAAGATCTTTAGAATAATTCTTTCCTTTTTCTTGCTCCATTTGAACATTTAGAAACAATAAAATTAATCTCTAAAGGAATAACTCAAATGTTCTTTCCATAATGCCATGAACTGCACTCAATGTCTAACATCTGTTGGAGGGATAAATCATGTTCAATAACTTCTAAATCAGTAGTTTACAAATTATGATCTCTAGGGAGTTCTCATGGTAAGGAAAGGGTAAGAGGAGAATTGAGAAAGTAGAACCACAAACCCTCATTTCCTCCTCAAACAGAGCAGTCCTGCTTATATGATGGAGCTTCTACATACTATTCCAAAGACAGAACTCCATTGCAAGAAACAAATTTTAAACCACTGCCATAGATAGAGCTAGAGTCAGCAAGAGGGGTAAGGACAGTGACTCCGTGCACCTTCTTTCCTTTCCTCCCCAATCTAAATTAACTGTGAAAGATTTTTGAAATTATTTTTAAGGCATAAAACCATAATAACAGAGAGACCGAGACCACAAAATACATTTGGGTGGCTGGAAAATAGATGAAAGAGTGGTCAAAGACACAACAGCCTTGAGAAAACCGGATCCTATGTAAACAGAAGGAAAAGTCAAGAACGAACCTGACTTTTACCCAAGAGTTGCCATACCAGGTTCCTCTAGAGAAAAATTAGTCAGAAGTCAGCTTAAGATTCAGATTCCCAAATCACTGTCCCCCTTTTGTATAACTGGGCAACCACTACTCTTCCACCCTAGTATTCTCTGGAAAGGATAAAACAAGATCACTGAGCTGGATACATATACAGCACAGTTGAGGCAACGGTACCATACCAAAACAGGGAAATCAGTGAGCAAATGCTCTCCTCTCACATGGTTTTTAGAACTCTGGAACCCAGGCTTTTACACCACAGGCAGGAGAAGAATCCTGAAGAAGGTATGGCCTTTTTGAAGAATCCAAAGAAAACTATCACCTTCTCGAAGAATCCAAACATTCTAAAAGGAAGACATAAAGACAGTATCAGATATTCCTCAAATAATTGCTCCAGCCAATCACTTTACAGTGAAGCCCATAGTTAACAAGTCCCATTAATGAGTTCAGAGTTTCCAGTCAGCCTTTCCATCTCTTTTGCAACAGGAGCAGACAGAAAGGAGGTTGGGATGTCTGAGAATAGCACCTAGCATGGAAAATAAGACCAAAACAAAACAGGTATTTGGAGGAAGAAAACAATGCCAGGAGAAGAAAGCTTCCCAAAATGGTATCAGTATTCTCAGTTATGAGACTATGATAATATCATATGAAACAATAGGATACTGTTTAAAAGGAATACTCAAAATTTTTTTAAAAGAAAGGTCTTGGAATTAAAGTGACAATATCTGAAATTAAATCTCAATAGAAGAGCTAAAATTTATTAAATATATCAGAAAATAAAGGAAGCAACCCCATAGGTTAAAAACCAAAGAGAATGCT